AAAATGGAAAGCTCTTACTTCCCACGAAGCATAATCAAAACTCAAAAAAACGTTAACCAAAATATCCCCAACAACCAACAAAGTCGGACGGCAAATATCAAAAGATCAAAACAAAGCATTTCCAGCAACCAACAGGCTGGATGATTATTAGAAAATTTGTAAATCACAAGGTCCTCGGCACACCGGAGGACTCTACCAGGAGAAAACACTCATCATGCCGGCGCATGATCAGAATCAGTAAGCCGTCACCACAGCCAAAGGGTCAGCTACCGTATCAAAGGAGCATCCTGAGGTACTTAACCTGATGAGGGTTCGTACTCATCAACCAAGGGGTTAGCTACCGTATCAAAGGAGCATCCTTAGGTTTCTCACTCGGTGCATGATCGGAATCTGTAAGCTGCCACCACAACCAAAGGGTTAGCTACCGTATCAAAGGAGCTTCCTAAGGCACCTAACCTGATGAGGGTTCGTACTCATCAACCAAGGGGTCAGCTACCGCATCAAAGGAGCATCCTAAGGTTTCTCACTCGGCGCATGGGTTAGAACAATAAACCGCCACCACATCCAAGGATCAACCCTATTACAAAAGGGTATCCAGAAGATACAACTCACCACCACCTAAGGGGTCAGCTACCACATCAAAGGGGCATCCCAAAGGAAAACCTTCATTAGCCGAAGGTTCAGCTACCGCATCAAAGGAGCATCCTGAAGCCTCACAAAATATCGTCCGATGGGTCAGCCTTCGCAGCAAGGAAGCATCCTGAAGACAACACCAGACTACATTCATCATCCTGAGGGTCAGCTACCGCATCAAAGGAGCACCCAGAGGATAGACGGACAAGAGGGTTAACTCATTTATCCGCCAATCGACCTTATGGCACGAAAGCCCATAGTCAATTGGTCGAGTAAAGAGGGGACAACTGTAGACCCAAAATCTTGTCCGATCTCAAAATAAAGAGCAAAAGACCTCCAATTCGAAGATGGACAATTCCTAAAAGGTCCCTAGGATAGACTAATAGGCCCCATATTAGAGTAGGAAGGTTTTTTGTATAGAAAAAATAAGGAATTCCACCTGAAAGGTCGAGACCACCGTCTCGCCATCAGCAAAGGGTGAGACCGCCATCTCGTTTGGTGAGACGACTGTCTCACCACTTGCTATGGCGAGATTGCCTTCTCGTTTGGCGATACGACCTTCTCGCCATTTGAAAAATCGATACCACTGTCTCGATTGAAGAGACGACCGTCTCGCCATTTGTCAAAGGCGAGACCGTCGTCCTATTTGGCGAGACGGCGGTCTCGACCTTGCCAAGCGAGATGGTCGTCCCAACTTGACAGACGTGAATCCCTATAAAAGGAGGAGGACGCTCTTCCCTTCATTTCACACAGTTCTTCAACTTTTCCTTCTACAATTTCTTCAAATTCTTCTCCTAGAGCCCCTCCGAAGCATTTCTGGAGTTTTCTGAGTGTTCTTAGAGGGTATTTTATAGCATCGCGAGAAAGAGCGATCGACATTATAGAGTGAAGGACTGCCAAAAAGTGTCCTATTCCTAGAATATTAATCAAGAAAGCTTGCTTCGAAGGTTTCCTCACTTTCTCCCTCTCTTTTACCGCTTCCTATTTACATTTATACGTATATTAGCTGCTAGGGCCATGTAATCACTATTTTCTTAATTCCGCAAATAAAAGGGTAAAAACGTCATTTTAAAGTTTATTTATGAAATAAACGGCCCATCATAGGGAACCCGAAATGAGCGTAGTGGGGGTGCTAATACCTTTCCCACACGTAACTAACTCCCTTACCCAACTCTGGTTATAATGACCAAAGTTGGTTCTTTAAACCAATGCCTTCTTTTTTCCTTTTCCGATGTTTCGATAAAAACATCAGTGGCGACTCCATAAGAATCATTTTCGAAAACGTCACCCTTAGGTCCAGCCCGGTTATCGGACAACCTAAATGTGTTGGAACGTCACATTTAAAAAACGTGAAGTGGAAGTCGAAATACCATCGCGTCGCTCCGACTGTCTCTTTTGACGGCGGCGATAATGATCAATCCAAATTTGTCATTAAAGACAATAATTCTTAAACAATGTTAATTTTTGCTAAAATAACAAATGTCTCATTGTAATCAACCTCATATGTTTGACTATATCCTTTTACCACAAGTCTTAGTTTTAAATTGTTATATTGTGTCATCTTCTTTGTATTTAACAATGTAAATCTGTTAGCATCCTACTAGTTTCTTTTGTGATAGACAATCAATAAGAATCAAAGTAACAATTTTTTAAAGTGAGTTCATCTCCTCATTTATAGCAGTCGTCCATCTTGGATCATCTTGAGCTTTGTATGAGTTGTTAGGAAGAGCTATAGTCGAGTAACGGATCTTGACCATTGATCTTGGGAGGATAAAATAATATATTATTAATAAATAATAAATAAATATAAAAGAAAGAAAGAAGATGAAAGAGTAAAAAGATAAAAATGTAGATATATACTTAAATATATTAAATGATCATTAAGTTTGAGGGGAACAAAATCATAAATTATATGAGAGTTACAAAACCGAGGAACGATCGAGAGGATAAAATTGTAAATATACAAGTAAATATATTAAATGTTCATTATGTTTGAGATACCAAAATCATAAATTACATAGGAGTTACAAAACTTTGGGAGGGGGGGGGTCACGGCCTCCCTCAGCTCCTAAGAAGATCTGAAGATCTAGCTATAGTGAATAACTTATTCATAATTTTTTTTAACAATATATCATTGAATAGATAATTATTCTTAGGATAGTTAATGTTATTCAAGAGTTCTTCTTCACAAGCAAGTTTAGGGACAATTTCCTTATGACCAAGAAATGATTAGTAACATCTTCAATAAGATGTTCATGTGGTGCTTTAATATTGTTTCCATTTAGAGGTTCACGTGACACTTTAATGTTATCTTCAATGTTATCTCGAGCAAGATATTCACGTGGACTTTCAATATCATCTCTAGTAAAATTCTTGTGATAATCTAATATTAGTTTCTTCTTCATCTTCTAATGGTTGATAATATGAAATTATATCACTTAGATCCATATTATACTCTAGAGTCTAGATTCTTGTATTTTTTGTTGGTTCCCTCCATGAAAACCAAATTTAGAGAAAAAAAATACATTATATCTTCATGGAAAATCACATTCATTGTTATATATATATATATATGATTAGTAGGAGAATGATAACACCTATTCCCCTTTTTATGTACAACAATATATGACAAAAATACATTGGATACTCATGGAACTAACTTGTTGTGGTTATGAAGATGAACAAATGAGGGGGTGAACTAAAAATGATTAGAGTGACAACTAAATTATGAAGTGTTTCAAAATGTATCTCAGACTCAATAGAAATTGAGGGAGTCTAATTTATTAAATATATTGTTAAAGTGAGACTTTTTTTTTTCAGGAACATAATGACATGTGTGCTTCGATATATTGCTGAAACATAAGCAACTTTTAACAAATGTCAATTTTTTCTCTCAACAATCTAATTTTATTGAGGTATGTTAGAATAAGTAGTTTGATTAATAATTTTATTAACTTTTAAATATTGCTGAAATTCACAATTTTTATATTATTCACCGTTATCACCACCTAAAACCTAAATTTGAACTTTATACTCAGTTTTTACCATCTTATGAAAAATTTTAAATAATAAATTTTATTTTATTTTATTAAGTACAACTAAATTATATGATTTCTAACTTTAGTATCAATAATTTATATATAATTAAAAATACTAACAATCTTATCAAAATTATTTATAGTTACAATGGATATCCTCTTAATTTTGTTTGGCAATAAAAATTTTTTTCTCAATTCTCTTTCTTATCATTGTAATATATTTTTAAAAGAAATATTAAAAATTTCTTGTCATTCTTCGATATTTTTAAATGAATATTAAAAAGCTCTTGAATTTTAAACAGAATTAACAATTTTATTGCTCTAATAATAACTTAAAAAATATAAATTAAAATATATTTATTTTCCAATACATATAACATTTATAAGATATAAAATTATATAACTATCTATACTAATTAGACTATTAAAAAATTAAAATATTTTATAATTATAAAAATATTATATAATTTCTATAATAACATTCTATAAAAAAAAGAAAAATAAATATCAACGTGAAAAATTAAGCGTATTTTTGTTACTCGAAGAAAAGGGGGGCGAAAAGTGACACCCTTATCTGATGGCAGAGTGCAGAGAAATTTGTAGGGATGGCCTAATGGTAGAGGGCACGATAGAGACATATGTGGAGACCGCCAAGTGTCGGACGAATGATATTACGTGGCTCATGACCACTCCAATTTTTCACCTTTTAACTTCACACTCCTATTTCTCCACTTTTCCAGAATAAGTTTCCTTGCCTTTCCATTTTTGTCTTACCAAATTTAACCCATCAGAATATATTCTTTCATGTGCCACTAATTAGTACACGTAATTTATGTTACGGAATATGATATTTTTCATGTTCAATTCTATTATATGTGAAAATTAGTTACACCAATAATAATTAAATTGAAATGAGATAAAAAGAGACACATAATTTAAATTGAATTTGTCCTCCCATTAACCTCCCTTTGCTATAAAATGAATCTCATGGCTAAGCCACTCTAACCATATTTCCTCCTAAACCGTGAATTTCATCAGAATGACCCATCTCTTCTCTTGATCTTCTTTCTATACAAGTAAACCCTCCCTTTTCCCTCACACTCGTGTACTCTTCTTACCTTCTTTAATCTTAATTTCTCTCTTTTATTTGCTTCCATGTTTTAGACTCAGGGTAAGTCCTGATCTTAATAGAGGGTGAAAGACTAATCTTTTAGGATACTGAGATCAAGTTTGACATCTTCATGCAGATGGAACTTCATCTTCATTTTACCATGAAACTTCACTTGCATATGAACAATTGAAACCCCACAAATTATTTGTATGGAAAAAATGTCAAAATCTATGGAGCTTCCGGATTGTGTGTATCCTAGGCCACCATTTACAATCCTACCATGTGCTCCAACACCAAAGCATTCTCTCCATCTATCCAATCTTGACAACCAAAAGTTCCTGAGATTCTCCATTAAGTATGTGTACCTCTTCAAGCAATGTGTGAGCTTGGATGTATTGAAGTCTTCTCTGTCAAGAGTTTTGGTGGATTACTACCCCTTAGCTGGGAGGTTGAGGAGGAGCAGCATTTGTAAGGAGGATGATCACAAGCTAGAGGTAGATTGCAATGGAGAAGGTGCTGTGTTTGCTGAGGCTTTCATGGATGCCACTGCTGAACAATTACTTGAACCCTGCAAGCTCCCAAACAATTCATGGAGGAAGCTCTATTACAAGGTGGAAGCTCAGAGTTTCTTTGATGTTCCTCCTCTTGTAATCCAGGTCAGATATCATATTTTTATTTACTTAATTTATATCCAAATGCTCTATTAAAATATTACAAATATTTGCATTATCGTATCAGTGACACTAAGAATATTGCGAACAAGATTAATACATAATCTAGTGAAATGAATGAAAACATCTGACAGGAAGAAAAAAATTAAAATACTAAAAACAGTATAACACTGATGTGTTTTAATGTATACCTTGGAAATGAATGAACATGGTATGAAAAGCATTATATCGGAATTGGATACTTGCGATGAGATTGTTGAACTAAACTTTGAATTTGGGCAGAAATTAGGTAACATAAAAGTAGAGAAAGTGTATATAAAAATGAAAAAGCAAAGTCGTAATCCATGGTTAGTTGTTACTCTCAGAAAGCATGGCTGCTGAGTGGTGACATCCAGCGACAGGGGTGCCTTCCTCTTCCCTTTTTTTCATTAATTAATTTATTTGAAAAGAGATGCTCTATCATGTTCTCACAAATTTAAGGATTTTAGTAATGTTATTACTTTTTTTATTCATCAATAATTTAACTGAGTTTTATTTTATTAACCTCTCTTTTTCTTTATATATTCTGATTCGAACAATTGTATAAAACTTATTTGAAATAATTAAGAGTATTTTTGGTACAAAGTTAATTAAAAATAATTAAAAATGTATAAAATACAATCAAAACAATGATTTATATAATAATTTTTAAAAAACAATTTAATATTTTAATTCTTTCAGGTGACAAGTCTCCGATGCGGAGGGATGATCCTGTGCACGGCGATCAACCACTGTCTATGCGACGGCATCGGCACGTCCCAATTTCTACACGATTGGGCCTATCTCACTAAAGAGCCCAGCAACGAATTACCAATCACACCTTTCCATGGACGACACGTGTTAAATCCTCGAGACCCTCCCCAGGTGCACTTCACCCACGCGGGATACACCAGAATAAACTCCGCCTCTCATCCAGTTGACCTGCAAAAGTGGATGATGATGATGCCCTCGCAGTCGCTGGTCGCCACGTCATTCACATTCGAACCCTCCGAGGTGCTTCGGTTAAAGAAACAGTGTGCTTCGTCGCCGAAGCGCATCACCACCTTCAAAATCGTGGCGGCACACACGTGGCGCGCGTGGGTTAAATCACAGAATCTCAGTCCCACTCTAACCGTGAAGCTCCTTTTCTCCGTCAACGTTAGAAAAAAGGTTAACTTCCCCGATGGATATTATGGGAACGGGTTTGTTCTAGCATGCGCCGAGAGCACCGTGAGAGATTTGGTAACAGTTAATAACGATAATAATAAAGGTGATAGTGATATTAGTCACGGTTTGAAAGTGTTACAACAAGCTAAGGCTAGTTTGGATGAGGAAGGGTATATAAGGTCGATGGTTGATTTGTTGGAGGACAAAATGGTGGGTGTTGATCTTTCTACGAGTTTGGTTATATCGCAATGGTCAAGGCTAGGGTTGGAGGATGTGGATTTCGGATTAGGAAAACCCTTGTACATGGGTCCTTTAACAAGCTCTATTTATTGTTTGTTTTTACCGGTGGTTGGTGATGCTAATGCGGTGAGAGTGCTTTTGTCGGTTCCGGAAAGTGTTGTGGAAAGTTTTCGTTACCATATGGTGGTGAAAGTGAATGAGATAGAACATGAGAATGGTGGTGTTAACCCAAAAGGTTATCAAAAACAATGATCAACATGAAAATGGTGGTTGCATACGTGTAAATTGTACTAGTCTTCCTAAGATTGGTGTAACTCAATCAAATTTTAATACATGAGGGGTGATTTATATGTAATGAAATTTTAGTTTATAAACGTCTAATATGATATTAGACTTGAGTTTTTGACTCAGAGCAGTGACTTTTTAACATGTTAGAAATAAAATTGAATATTTTATAATGAAATATTATAATAAAATTAAATTTTTTTACAACCTAAATATAATCAAAAGCGGGGCAAGCATTTAGCCATGATTCCCAAATTTTTTTTTTAATTTAATTATAATTTATTTTTCTATTAAAAAAAATTACGAGCCCCTAAAATTTTAAATTTTTTTAAATTCAATTATAATTTGTATTTTTTTTAAATATATAATTTTTTTAATATTAGTCTTTTGATTTTATGAGTTGGTTTAGTTTCTAATAACATAAATTATTAAAATTAATTTTTTTATGAGATATTAAATAGTTACAGCGGGGAGTTAAAATAATCATAACCAATATATCTAATATCTTGCACGGTTTATAATTAATGAATTCAGTTACCTGCTATGAATTTTGTTTTCTTTCTTTTATTTAAAATAATTAATTTCTTATAATTTAGGATATATAATATTATTTTAAATTGAATATAAAAGTTATTAAATAATTATTTTATTATAATAGGTTTAATGAATTTATAATAAAAAAATCAAATCATACTAAATTGTATTTAAATTTTTTGTTAATTCGCATGATTTTTTTTAATGTAAAATCGTTATGATTTTATATCATGCTTTTAAGATTTAGGATTTAGGTTGATTTTTGAAGTCCAAAGCCGAAAAATAGTGTAACTCAAAATTATCAATGACTTTTATTAAAAATAGGATGTTCTTTTATTTGAACATAGGAAACGGTAAACCAGTGACTTTAACATGTAAAGATAAAATAATATGAAAGATAAAAAGCTAAATTTATAAATATACAAACAGGTAATTTAATAATTATTAAATTTAAAAAAATTAAAATATTGTAACTTACAAAATTTTAAAAATAATCATTAATTTTAAAAAAACTAATGAAAATTACAAAATTTTTAAAGATAGATGTCTCTTATAAAGATAATGGATAACAAGATTTCTCACAAAATGGGTGATAACAATTTGATGAAGACAACATTGGCAATCTGGAGATAGATAGCAGGAATAATAGCACGTGTGCTTCCCCTCACACCTCAAGTTGAAACACACGTATTGTTTTCATAAATTTTTGTAGGTTTGTAGAAAAACTTAACGGGTCTTGTCATTGTATGCTTCGATGCACATCATCTGAAAATAAACGTTAGTGACATAGACGCGAAAATCAAAAGATTCTACACCATAGTACATCAAACAATTCAAACCATACATATAATATTAATCCAATATTTAACTGCGTTTTGCATCCTATACTTTTTATAAATAAAACTTTTGCAAATTTTTGTATCTTCTGATAAAATATGTTTGCTAAAATTTTGTTCCAGGATGAGCGGATGCTACTCTTGCATGTTGATATGTTCCGATAAAGATATGGTCTCGGAAACGATCTAAGCTATAGCATTCACGATATAATCTTCCTGTTGATGGTGGGATCTGCATAACTTGGCCTATGATACTTATTGTTTGGGTATTTATTCACTTTTGTCTAAGCTATGTTACTGGTTTCAGAATTTTCGGATTAAGTGAGTACATTTGGATAAAGAATATCAAATAGCCATAATGCTACGACGAAAAATTAATGTTATAATTGTCACAATAGTAGTCATAATGCTTCGACGAAAAATTTCTTAAATTTTTTTTGAGAACTTGTCATCCTAGCTTATTATGAAAAATTTGAAGAGTTAAAATATATTTAATTCAATAAACTGTCTTGATTAAAAAATATGTTAAATTAGACTAAAAAAATTATACTTTAAATTGAATCATATCTATTTTAGTATAATATGTTTAAATGATGACCTACATCAGTTTAGGATAGGATAATCATAAAGCTAGGAATAACAATTAAACTCTTATCCATGAGAATCGATTCGTCGTCGTCCCAAGTTTGACTGAGAAAACTCGAATTGACCGGGACGGGCAGGGGTGGGGACGGGTGGGTACTGGGATTGGTAATGCAATCCCGACCCCGCCCCGCCCCAACTTTATATTTAAATTTAAATTTTAAAATATTAATATTTTAAAATTATTTCCTCTTCTTTTTTATTACATATAATGTCATTTTTTTATATTTCACCATTTTTATTTTTCTTTTACCCACTTTTTAATTTTTTTATCTTTTTTAATCTTTTATATTAATTAATTTATTACATTATTCTCTCTCTTAACTTTTAGTTTTTTTCACATTTCCTTAAATAAGAATTAACTTATTATAAACTATATATTTCATATTTTTAAATGACAACTTAGAAATGAATTAACTTATATATGTAATCAAATATTTGAATATAATATAACAATAATAATAATAATAATAATAATAATAATATTATTATTATTATTATAAATATTCTATATATATAATGATTAAATATTTCTTTTATATACATATTTTAATATAAATATAATAAATTAAAATATATATTTAATTAATAATAATTATAAATTATAAAATTATAAATATTTTTTTATATAAAAATACATAGTAAAATTAATTTATTATAAATGTAATTATCTTTTTAAAAATAATATAGATCAGTGACTGGACGGGGCAGAAAGCTTGAAACCCAACTGGGACGAGGATGAGAACTTAATTTCTAACTCCAGCAGAAATCAGGGACTGGAATGGGGATGGTTAAAAAGTCGAGGTTAAGGGAGGGGATCGGGAGGCAAAACCTACTCCCGCACCGCTCCCCTCTCGTCCCGCCTCGTTGCCATGCCTACCGTAAGCTTATAGGCAGGTCATTTTATTGAATAATAATTATTTTTTAAATAGAATAAAAGTGATTGGAGGGTCATGACCCTTACTGTTCCCTCATAATGCTGCATATATTAATGTGGTTTTGCAATTCAATATGGTTTAAGTTCAATTCAAATGTTCATGAAACTTCTAAAAGAGACCAATTTCCTATTGATGTGGGTTTCCTACTAGATGGATAAAGGATGTATCTGGGCTAGAAATATACCAAAAATCTAAAATAAATTTTATCACGTAGCTATGACTCACATTGCAGACCTTGGAATTGAATCTTATCAAAACCACAAAAATAATGAGATTTTGAACAACAATTTTGGCATATTAAATATTAAAAATGAAGTAGTTTAGGAGATATGAGCAAGACTTAATTTGACTCCAACAGGAAACAAGTGCAAATGACCTAATTTGAAAATTGAGGGAAAAATAATTATAGAACTTAGAGAATAAAATGATGACAACAAAGACACCACAAAGTGAAAGTTTGATAAGCTGGGTTGATCGCCACAATAATTAAAATAATCTTTAATAAGATTGTTGGTTCAAACAAGAATCCCAACAGAGAGTCTATCTCATGCTTTAAAATATTGCAATAATATCTATTGTTTCATTCATTTTCAAAATTATAAATACAACCAGTTCTTACTCCTCTTAAAGCAAATAAAAGAAAATTCAAATTTTAATAATTTAAGCATATGTAACATGTCTTAGTGGTTGAGTGGACATGATTAAGTTTTTAATTCAAGGTTCAAATTTGACTGATGAATATTTTACATATTTTTATAAACAAATCCTCATAATCAAAATTTAAACTAAACACATAAAAGGACTAAGTCTAATAATTAAGTCTATTATTCTCAATCCAAACTAGCAAAGGCTTTATGGGCCCTCTTGGCTTTTGTTTCTTGTATGAGTTCTCCTAGCCTTCCATTGGATCCTGGACTTTTATTTAATCATGGGCTAAAATACACCCATTCCCAGTCACCTGGTTCAAATGTTACCTGTCTCCTTTCTTTGTTTGCATAACCTTTAATTTTCTTCTTAATTTGAGCCTTGACTTTTTCATGCAACTCACTAACTTGCCTTTGGATTTCTTGGGTTTCTTGAGGATTAATTTTGTATGTTGCTAGCCTATTAGGCAACACAACTACTAGAACAAAACCAATCTAGTATCCAATCCCTCTTAATGGTGGAAGTCCAACTGGTATCTCCTGAGGAAAAATATCTGAAAATTCCTGCAAAATAGATTTAACTCCACTTGGAAGTTGAGGGTCAATACTCAATGCAACAATTTCCTTGTCTTAAATAATATACATGGGTCTTCTTGTCAAAAATGCTCTCCTCACTTCTCCACTTTTTATAAGAGGACCTATTTTCTCTTTTTTCTTTCTCCAATCTTTTTAGTTTTTTTTCTCTCACACTTTTCTTAGCATTTTTTTTCTTTCTTGCTCTTTTTTTTCTCATTTTATTTTGATCCTCACAAACCTCTCAAGGTAACAAAGGAAATAGAGTGAATTTTTCGTCTTTGGTGAACAAATGTGTATTTATTAGTGTGACCATCATGTTAGGTTTTTTTGTCAAATTATCACGGTCTCGCAAATAGTGTATGGCTAGCCTCCATAGGAACTACATCGCAAAGGACCTTATCTTCATACTTCACAATAGAGAATACAATCTCAACCTGCTTGTCCACCTTTAACTATCCTTCCTCACTTAACCATTGAAGTTTATAAGGCCTAGGATGAGGTTTAGTCTCCAAGTTCATTTTTGTCACTAATCTGGTGCTAACTACATTTGTGCAGCTCCCTTCTTTTATAATTAATGAACACACCTTTCCTTGAATAAAACACCTGAAATGGAATATGTTTTCTCTTTGACTCCCCTCATCTTCCTTTGCAATTCCTCCAAGCATCCTCTTAACAATAAACAAGTCTCCTGCTAGGGATACGGAGGTTTGACTCCTTGACTATTTGATGATGGACTTTTGTGAAACATTTATTCTCCATTGGGGAATGTAGCAGAGACTTGATTGAGTATGCTCGAT